GAAAAAAAGATGCGCTGTCACTGTATCAGGAGAACCAAAGTGTCATCACTGATCTTTGATCACTTAAATTGGTATCTGCCATATTTCACCATAGTGGTAGAGTTCATCTTCTTTCATTTGTAATCAATACACATTTTGTAACAAAGTATTTAGCAAACCATCAATATATTATTTATTCTGTTATATTAGTAAGGAGTCATAGATTCCTTTATTTCTCTATGGTAGGTAATTTGTTGCTATCATTACATGTTTTGATGCTAAAAAACTTGTCCTATATTTTGTTGGTGGAAGCTGCTTCAAACAGGCTCCTATGCTCTTTTGACATGTCTTTAACATTGAGAACTTCCTTATTTCTGACACAAGATGTTTTATGTTCATGTTCTGTGTGTGTGTGTGTTTTTCCTACACCATCCCTGGAATCAACCCATTTTTCTAAGAACCCTTGTTCTTATTAGTGGACAATTTTATTTAGAAACTAAACTCTGGGAACCAGATATACTCGTTGCTGATCCCAGACCCTGAGAATGAAAAGAACTAGAGAATATATATAGGTAAAAATATATATAGCTACACCACACACACACACACACACACACACACACACACACACACACACACTACATTTATATCTGTTTATTTCTCTATCATCTATCTATATATATAAAAGCCTAATATGCAAAGTGTCCCCTTGGGAGTTCGACTGACCTGGAGTTCGATTGCTCACTATGACATGTGCTGACCACCAGGGGGCAGTGCAGAATAAAGGCAGGCCATGGCCAGCAGCCAGCAGGCACTAGGGACCTACCCGTTCACGAATTTCGTGCACTAGGCCTCTAGTTTATACATATTGAAAATCATAAATTAATATAAAAGTCACCAATTGAAATCGAACTCTACAGCTTTCTCCATTCCCATATGTGTAACTCCTTTCCTGACAATGAACTTCAAATATTTTCTTTGTTCATTAACCCTCCCATAGGTAACTAATCCAGCTGTCCACACACACAGAGGCCCTCCTCTCTCTGCTTAAACTGCTATATCCTACTCTCTGCTGTTGCTGCCACCACCCAGCCCCTACACACACTCATTTCACTTGATATTTGACATCCCATGCCACGAACCCTATTCTGGGACAACCTACTCACAGAACTGAGGCTCCAACCCCATGCACTGGGCCCTTGTCCCCTCCCACACTCAAATACCTGGCTTCCTCAACCCACCCTAATGGAAGAGAAGGAAAGGGAGGGGAGGGCGAAGAAAAATAGCTTTCTGTTTATTCTAAGGGCAAAAGAAATGTAATTCACCACAAATTACAAAACAATCTTAACTGTCCCTCACATTTTTGGGATACTCTAAATTACTCACCTAAAAATTGAGATTTGTTTTTAAAAAGTAATAATACTAGTGATTATCTATAAAGCTGGAAAATTGGGATCAATATTCCATGTATTCAGCAAATATTTAGCTACAGCCCATACAACTGTTTAAGCTCAGAGGGAAATGAATATTGGGCAGTCAAATTTAAAATATACACGGAAGTCTAGATGATGCAAGCAGAGGAAAACTTGGTCATATTTATTTGATAGTGACATTATGTGGAAGAATTTCAGGAGTAACTTTCCGCTGATAGAGTTGGGAAAAGTCAATGTATGAGGAATAAATGTAATATAAACCGCTGATACTTCCAGGCTCTTGCTGTCTAAACTGCCATGCATATGCAGAAGATGATTAATCATTTTTCTGAAAGTCACCTTTTGGTACCTACTACTATTAGCAATTATTTTTTGAAGTAGCACATTTTACATAGTAGCACTATTTAAAGAAGTAGCTTCATGCGTTGATCCCAATAGTACTCATTCCAATCACATAAAATTGGAGAATTTTACCCCCTCCCCCCAAAAAAAGAATTAGTGACTTTTCCTATTCACCTTTTCTTTATTCTCATCAATGGTTTTCAGATTAGGTCTGTTTTTTTCTGGTTTTGCTTTTGTTTCTGTTCTTCTTATTTAACGTATTTATTTAAAGCAGAACCTACTAGTAAATATTCACATAAGAATCCAGCTCTGGGCTTTCTGCCTCTTAAGGCAGGTCCAGGACTGTCTCTATTCTACACAGCAACAAATAGATAAGGATGAAGGAAAAACTGGTAACAAATGATGTACTGAATACCATTTTAGCACTCAATTCTATTATAGCTTTATGCCTTTACAGAGATTGTATCTCTCTTCATAAAGGTATAGAAGGGTAGAAAATAGTATGTAGTATAGAATAGCAATTTTCAACCTTTTTCATCTCATGCACACATAAACTAATTACTGAAATTCTGCGGCACACCAAAAATTATATTTTTTGCCGAGCTGACAAAAAATAGGAATAATTTTGATTTATTCACACCAGACAGCTATTGTTGTGTTGACTATTACCATTTTTTTATTTGACAATCTAAGGGGGGAAAAAGGTTAGTGCCCCTGACTAAATAGTCAGATGACAAAAAATAGGAATAATTTTGATTTATTCACACCAAACAGCTATTGTTGTGTTGACTGTTACCATTTTTTTATTTGACAATCTAAGGGGGGGAAAAAGGTTAGTGCCCTTGACTAAATACTCAGGTATTGCACGTTGTGTTTTGTTTTTTTCTTTTTAAATATATTTTATAGATTTTTTACAGAGAGGGATAGAAAGTTAGAAACATCTATGAGAGAGAAACATGGATCAGCTGCCTCCTGCACACCCCCTACTGGGGATGTGCCCTTGACCGGAATTGAACCTGGGACCATTCAGTCTGCAGGCTGACGTTCTAGCCACTGAGACAAACTGGTTAAGGCAGGTATTGCATGTTTTAAAAATTCTTGTGGTACACTGTTTGAAAATCACTGGTATAGAATATATATATAATCTCCAATCCAGTCCCAGAGGTTTTTCTGTCCAAGGAGTTCTAAATGGCAGGTTAGATCAAGTCCCTGCGAATACTAGCGAGAACAACTTTCAGTGGATTCTGGGCACGGTGATGTCTTGTTCCAGAGAGCTCTTCTATTTCTGCCGGCTTTTCTCTTCATCGTCTTCTCTGGCGGAAGAGACTCCTATCTGGACCACAGCCATCGCTGGAGAGCTGAACCAGTAGCAGCCGGTTGGGTCCCACTCCGGGGCCCTAAGGTCGCTGCCGCGTGCGCCCCAAGGTGGGGCGGTGTGGGGCGCAAGCCGGGGCGTGCCCAGGGCTGGGGTGTTTCTGATTGGCTTTTTGCTGCGAATACGGAAGACCAGGCTGCTGGGACCGACGTGGGAGAAAGGTCCCAGCTTGGCGCAGGACCTCCCGGGCTTCGGCGGTGCTCCCGCCCGCTGCGGCGGGGGTAGGGGAAAAGAAGGGGAGTCCTGGGGGAGAGTACATCCCCTGGAAACGTAGGGAGATGGGGAGGGGAAGGCTGTGGTTTCTGGGTGTTGCCAGAGAAGCCACGCGCCGTATTCCACCTGGGGCTCCTGAAGCAGAGGGGCAGGTAACTGCGGACTCTGTACCTTGAAAGTGTTCGGAATGGCCGGGAACGCAGGTGCCTTTCATTCTCCTTTGGGGACACTGCCCTGGCAGCCATTTAGTGAGGAGTCCTACTGTGGGTACGGACGCTGTAAAATATCCCCGCCCCAAACTACTCAGAAGAGAGTTTCCTGCAGAAAACATACTAGTTGGCCGCAGGGTGCTAGGAGAAGGGGACGGAGAGGCATCTGGAATTTGGTACATTCTATAGCTGTGCCACAGTTTTACTCTGATTAAGAAAAAGATTATGTCCTCACCGGTTTGGCTCAGTGGATAGAGCCTCGGCCTGGGACGGGAGGGTCCCAGGTTCGATTCCGGTCAAGGGCATGTACCTGGGTTGCGGTCACATCCCCAGTAGGGAGTGTGCAGGAGGCAGCTGATTGATGTTTAACTCTCTATCCTTCTCCCTTCCTCTCTGTAAAAAATCAATAAAATATATTTTTTTTAAAAAAGAAAAGAGAAAGCAATAATTTTTTTAAAAGATTACATAAATCCAATCTAGACAGAGATGAAACTTGAGAAACGTATTCTGAGACGGTTTCGTTTTTAATTCTAACATTGATTTTAAGTGGTCTTCATCATTTAGCAATTACACATCGACCCACCTATGAAAGATTTACATACACATACGTGTAGTATACGTATGCATGTGTCATACATGTATACACTTATATGAGAGATTTTAAATGCTTGGGCACAAACAGTGGGAGCAGCGATCCCAGCTGCGAGGCAGCAAAGGGCAGGAGCGCTTCTCCGCGCCGCGACAGCCCTCCCCGCGCCTGGCACG